TTTCTTGACCTTCAGATGTGGGAAGTAAGACTTGTCCCCAAGAGTTCAAACAATATATATGGTACCCCCCCCTGCACATCTGACACCAAGACATGAAACATGTCTTTACCTCCAAGTTTAGTGTGAACCACACCATAAATATATATATATATATTTGCAACACGTAAGGACTGAACATCTGTAGGACTACAAGTGCATTGGGCACCCAGCGCCAAAAGACGATGATTAGGAGACCTAGTACTAGTGATAGTACTTGGCTTTCTATGGCTTTCTTTATTCTACTGCTACAGGCCTCGGGGTTTTACATGATTCTTTCTGGTTGGCCAGTCCATCTGAGTACAGTAACCCCAACAGCCAGAAGACCTCAGTGGCTCTACATGGCCCACTCACTGATGAACGGGTTCAACAAAACACTTTGAGGAAGAGACTGAACGAGGCAGGACGAACATACACCCAAAGAACCCTGAAACACTGCCTGAGATAACGGTAACCTGCTCCAAATACCTGCCAACAACCCAAGGTGTAGATGGTGGCTGGTGTGAGTTACACTTTCCCATCGGTCCAGTCTTCGACAATATGGGAAAATGATGGAAGATGTGAAGTCTGGAATCTGATTCCAGGGTTACTGTCATTGTTACTGTAGAATAACCAGATTCCAGGTTATTCCATTCCATACGGACCTGCAGAAACCACGGGTGACAGTGCTTCGTCCGGTGACCCGACTTCAGGAGACATACGCCAACCGGCCCTCCGATCCGATCGACTCCTGAGCAGGCACATGTGGATTCGGACCAACTGGTCCACTGGTTACACTGGTGATCCATTCATTAGTTATACAATACTAATACTGATATACTAATACTGATACACTCATGATCCATTCATTACTTATACAGTTATAACTAATATACACAATCTACACCTGGTTATATTCATCACCTATAAATACCTGAAACATGAGTTATACTTGGCTGATGGAAGTGCTATCAAACGCTAAAAAGTTGCCTCCTTGGTAACACCCCAAGGCAAACCCAAGGGAATCACAAATAGACCCTTTAAAAGAAAGCTCACCTTTCCACACTTGGATGTGACTCTTCCTTTTGTTGTTTTGTGACAAACGGCAGACCCTGTCTCCAGACTCCGACCCATTAGGTCCTCATCCGTCTCCAAAGCTTTGCATCTCCGTCTCCGTTCGGCTGCCGGCCTTCCGGAAGTCGGAGGCACCCAGCGCCAGCCGGGAGCAGGGGAAGGGAGAGCTCACCTAGGTCGGTGGGACACGTGGCTACCACGGTCCGTGCTCTGACCAGGGTTGGTGCTGAGTTCAGGAGCTTTCCACATCCCGAGAACGCCTTAAAGGGGGATGTACACAAACATGTAAGTTACACTATCTGCAAGTCATATGCATCTTGATGTGTGGTGTCTTATCATACACTGCCTGGTGCATGGCAAAGGTAGGAGGAGTTTTGCAATCGGAAGTGAATCATCTGCCGCAGTTCGATGCGCCTCGCAAAACCAAACATGTCGCTCAGAAAACATACACGACGGGCATATGTCAAAACCCTGTGTATCGAACGCCCACGAAGATGAACTTCCTCACATGAACAGGATTTTGGGCCCCAGCAAGTGATCTTTGGAAGGTCCGGGAAAAAAAACAGATAGTGAGCATTTGATAGCATTTGTTTGTTGCTCGAAACGAGATCTGCCGTGTTGGTCGGGGGTGTCAGAACGGTCATACCGGCACCGGGCCTACGCCGGCCGGTGCCTCTTCTGCCTGCACGCTCCGTTGCTCGAAGCAACTGAAGCCATAGAAACAGGTGGGGCGTCTCAGACGCACCCGGCACCCATCATGGTAAATCACGTGGAATCTCGTCACAATCCAAGCACCATGGCCAAGCACCATTGCAACCCATGGAATTATATGATATCTTGAATTTGGATGAATTTGGTTTGTCCGACATTCTATCATTCATACTGTGCTATTGAAGGAAGGACTATGACAAAAACATCCTGCGCCACTCTGGATGTACAAAAAGGAACCGCCAACAGCAGGATAACCGCTAAGCCGCTAAGTGCAACATGTCTTCCTTCAATTCTTGCAATGGTAGACAACAAAACAAACATGTCCACCCCACTTCTTCAAATTTTCCGAGCCGACAAAGAAATGCAAGATCAAATGACTCTGGAAAGTAAGCCAGGGCCCCCCAACCCGTTCCAAGAGCAGTTTCTTGGCCTCAAAAAACAGTGTTTTCGGTGAAATGACAGCTAGATTTGTTTATATTTTTTGGGGATGGAACACACTGCACATGGTGTGGGTCTTCTCTGGTTTTCGCTGCAGGGCTTCTTCCTAAGAACCAGTACAAGTAGGGTGGGTCTCTAAGTGACCTGTTGGGGACCTCAAACTGGGGCCTCAAGATCGGATGATACTTGGAAGAACCTGGGCAAGGAACTTTCTGTCGAATGAATCGGGTCCTGTTCGCAAAAGTAATGACTCATATCGCACAATCTTTCATCAGAACCATCAAAGTAGAAATGCGTCTGCTGCAAAATTTATACTACCACCAGCAAAGCACAGGATGTTGTATGGGTTTCTGATGTTGTTCATGACTCAGGGAAGAAACATGCGAACTCTCCGGCTCTATGATGCCCGCTGACTGAAGGTTCTGTTTGTTGGTTCTTGGTCTTAAGACTTGTATAAAGGTTTGTGATCATGTAGGTCTGTGTTTAATAGTTTATGATGCGTTTGTATCATACGGCTTTTCATTGGCTGCCAACTGTGAGAAGAACCGACCAACCAACAACACATCACAACGCAAAGGTCGGTTTGCAGGTTCCCCTCGAAGAACTAACTCCACCTGACTGATCTGCAGGACCATCCACCAAAACGAAACAAAACACCACCGGGTCACCGCCGTAGCAGGGGCCCGAACCAAACCATGAAAAAGCCCAAACCCCTTTTTTGGCTGGGGAAAACGGTCCATTGATGGGACACGTGGGGCCCCTGGTACCACCCTGTTTTGTGGTACCACCGTGTCCGAGGCACCGTATCTGCAATGATGCTGGCAGCATTGGCACCCATCTCCCCTCCGGATCGGCGCAGTCGGGCGAAGTCGAGGCGAATTCGCGCGATCGGAAGCGGGTTTTCATGGACGAACGTTGGGTCGGTGATGCCCATCACCTCCCAGTGGTCACCGCCAGGAAAAGAAAAAACAACAGGTATATATATTAGATATAGATATACATGTATATACAGATGAGCATTCGTTGGAAGGTCTCCGGTCTCCGTATCCAATGCGAAGCGACACTAGACTAGAAAGACCATGGCCCCAAACATGGAGAGATTCACATCAAACAAGGTCACTCTTGTTCTGTCTTCTGAGAGGTCCAGTCGCATGGTGTTTGTTGTTTATTGGGTCACCTGACCTGTCAGTTACACCATGCTCGCATTCGTTGGGGGCCTTGGTCGGGTGGGTCTGGTCACTGGGACAAGCCTCGCACCAGTCGAGCACTCGCCTGTCGAGCCTGTCGAGAGGTGAAGATCTGGAAAAGCCTCGGTGTGGATCACGCAGCGATCTGGATCACTTTCAGTAGAAACACGTCTTCCAAAACAGCCATCTGATAGCCAGGTGTGATGATTCTTTGATATGTGTTGCAATTATTTTAGCCAGGTTCTGCATGAACACCATTCCGATGAATGGTTCATGTTTCGGAGCAACAACAGCGCTCCACAAAGCACATGGTTCGAACACACTCACAACCGTTTGGAGGAACACCAAACAAACAAGAACACCAAATTAAAAAGTCAACCAACATCAGTTGGACATCAGTCAACATCAGTCAACCAACGGACCTCCGGACGTTTGCTCCAGCGAACCTCGGACCGCCCTTCACGGACCGCGCCAGGGGGCCACGGAGCGGCTGATGGTCTTGGTGAGCTCCTGGGCGCGCCGAACCCGGCACGGCGCCACGATGCGATGGTGCGATGGTGCTGATATAAGGGAACTGAACAAAACATCCACAGAAACACATGGGAATCCACTGTGTTTCACAGAGAGCTTTGGGGATGAAAACTCTATTATAGGGTGTTGATCAAATCACCCGATCCGCAACAAGACATGAAGCAGTTCTGCCAAACATGCTGGGGTGCAAAAGATTGCAGGCGGCCTACCGCAGGCCTCATCAATGTGAGTGATTGACCTTCCAACAGCGGGGTTCAACTGCAATTTTTCTGCAGTCTTTCATCGAAAACTGCCGTCATCTGCCGCCCTTCACAAGCCGAAGGGCGGCACCGGACCTGGCATCGGTGTCCGGACGAGCCACGAGCCATTTTCGCAGTTCGCCGCTGAGGATCGAGCGGAGGTGCGGCCGGCCATCCAGTTTCTGCCATGGTCCTGGCGAGATCGGAGATCGGTGCACAGAACCAGACGTCGAAGAGCTACCCAGACACTCCATGGGACTGCCATATATGCCGATCAGTTGGGGTGGTTGACTGGGGGTCAATGTAGGCATATATATATATATAGCATGCATGGAGTGTCTGGGCTATGATATCTATAGCTGCTACGTGTGGGGAGAAAGAGTCCCTTTTCACGTTCAGACTTGACTGGTCCTAGAGGTCCTAAAGCTCCGTGACCGCGGTTGTGGGGAGAAAGACATGCTTTGACGCAGCTCGGCCTGGTCCATTCGAGTAGAACTCAGTTGGGCCCTGCTCCGTTGGAGTTCTCACAAGTAACGAGGGTGGATACTAAGGTTTCAGAGGACCTTAGAGGACCAATGGCACAATCCTCAAGTTTGGTGGTTGATATGGACCCCCATATAAAAGACATCTTGGGGTGCCAGTGCCATCGAACCTCTGAAACCACTGTAAAGCTCTGGGAATTCAGTCACGAGAATGATTTGAGTATCTACTGTGGAAGCTGGATGAGGCTTCTCATGGGAGCCTCACGGAGCGTCTCACCCTGTTACAGCAGTCATCCATAGGAAATGATATGAAATTATATAGGAAATCAAATTAAGTGCATTCAATATCATTCAACATTATACCCTGCAGGAGACATAGAGTCTAGAGACTCTGAGGTGGACGCAGGTGGTCCTCCGGGCCCCATCGCGAATCATGACCGGCGCCTGGAAGAACCGGAAAGAATCTTTACCTTCATGACCGGCATGGCCCATGGCTCCTGATTCACGTTCATCCCTTTTCATCCTATCATTCGGCTCAAATGCTAGATTGGAGGCCATCGCTACTACTAGTAGGGTGGAGGCTATCTGAGCAACCAAGTCCCAACAAGTTCCTTCCCGGCTCAGCACGGCACTCCCGGTCCCTCCCGTCCGCATCTAAGCGTCCCCGGTGGTAGAGGACCAAGCTTCGTGGGCGACGCGGATCCTGAAGCCGCTGAAGCGATCACCGTGATCTTCCGTGTGCCTTTAAAGAGGCTTAGCTGAGTTTGGACGTGGAAGGCTGCCATGAGTTTGGCGTGTGAGTGAGTGAGTGAGTGAGTGAGTGAGTGAGGGAGTGAGTGAGGGAGTGAGTGAGTGAGTGAGTGAGGGAGTGAGTGAGTGAGCGCCTTTAGTTCGAAGTCTTCAAAGGTTCTTGTTTCAGTTCTTGGGATGAGTCTTTCCAAATTTTTGCGCGACAGCATGTGGGCCGAAGAAAACTGTGCGCGACAGCATGTCGTCTTGTTCGAAGGTGATCTTTCAGAAGCAGCATGAAAGCGTAGAAGCCAGCCGTCAGGAACCCAAGCTGCAGCTTGGCTCGATTAGGAAACGCCCCCGGCTATGGGGTTAAACTGTTGTATTGGGGATGAATGTTACGTACGGAACTCAGGCAAGCTTTTGGGGAACTCACTTCAAAAGTCAAACTTGTGTATTTTGTATTGTTTTCATTATTATTAATGACCAGTCTTTTTTCGGAATAGCTAGCCTAATTAAAGCATCGGGTAATATCTCGTACTTAGGCATGGTGGAACATTCACTGTGACGCTTGTCAATGCATAGTACGTATATCGGTCTTTGGTAGCTGTGATCCATAACAAGCGCGAAATGCTCACCCTAACAATGGAACTGTTGAGCAGCTCGAGACGGAACCGCTCAGCATCTTTTGACAAACTCTTTCACAAGTGCTCATTAATGTTGGATCTTAATTAGTAAAGGGCCCCCCCTCCTCTAAACAAATGGGAGGGCCTCTATAATGCACTACCACCAAGAGACATCTGGGTTCCTGGGAGGATTCCTTCTGTAGTTGATTGTAGTATTCATTTTTCTTTCTCGGGCTCTTTGTAATTAGATATTCTCAGCAACCCCTTTCCTCTGCAGCCTCAGATCTTCAGCAAATCTTGAGGACTATTACCTTGGAAATTTGTTTAGGAGCAATGTATACATATAAAGGATTGATTAAGGAATTGATGGCTTCGGGAAGCTGTGAGTTTTAAAGAACTACAGAAACCTATGATTACAAATATATAATACTCTCAGCAAGCCAGCCACTGGCTTAGTAGTATTAAGTTATTTGTATATGTCTTCAATGTCTTCTGATGAAAAAACGTTGCACAACTGAGAACCCTTAAAACAAATTTACTATTGATGATCAGGGGCCTTCCTGGTCTACTACCTTGAAAAAATGTTTAGGAGCTATCTATATATACAGGATTTATTAAGGAATTGATGGCATTGGGAAGCTGTGAGTGTTGAAGAACTACAAACACCTATGATTACCTATAATACTCTCAGCAAGCCAGCCACTGGCTTAGTAGTATTGACATTT